ATACGCACTCCGGTGACCTCCATTTTCACGTGAGCAAACTGACGCACGGAGACACGAAATGAGAGGCAGAGGCTGGACGTTCCCCTGGCCGGCCTGCGTCTACCAGGGCTTCCGGGAGGACATGGGGCTTGTGTCAGACCTGGACCCAGAGACAACCAGGGGGCGCAGAAGGGGCTCAGGGTCAGCACCAAAAAGCCCCGGCGTGAGAATGAGAACAGCTCGACCCACGGTTCCAGTCCTGAACCCGGCACCGTCTGCGTCCCTTGAAGCTCAGGCATGAATAGGACCAATCATCAAATCTGACAAACTAAATTGCAAAGAATTAAATAAGTTGCAGATCAATACTGTCTGAATGATCAATTAATCATTCCCTGTAATTAAAACTACCGACGCCTAATACCTTTCAGTTATATTTTATTGCACAATTTCTGATTCAGAGCTTTTAGGCAACTGTATCAATTGCAGGGATACTTGCCATACCTGCTAATCCAATAATTTATTAATCAGGACACCTCATGATGGAATATCTGGTTTCATTACCACCACCTTGACGCAGAAGGCGGGTTTAATTCAGCCCGGTCTTTTGTAAAGATGCTGGAGCTTTGCCATCATGCTGCGTCGTGTGGTTGCATATAAAGTCATATAACGTTCCTTCTTTTGCGAAAAAGAGTTGTAAGAAAAATAGGCAAGTGTACTCACGAAGCAGGTAAATGAACTCAAGCGGTTGCTCAAAATTATGTTTTAACTATAATCTTTTTCATGGAGGTTTTGCAACTTAATTTATTCCCGGTGTGCCTGCAAAGGTGCCGTTAGGATTCAGGGACAAAAGGGTCTCTGGGCAGACAAACGGGAGCTGCCCCCGTCAGTACCTTGAAATGCAAACTAAACACCAAGCACATCACGATGTGCTTCCTTGCACCCATCATTCTGAAATAAGCACGGATGAAATTCCTTATTTAACCTATGAATGTATTATTGCAGTGGCCACGCCGGACAACTGGTGGTTTGATCTGACGTCCCTTGATATTTTGGGACATCATTGTGAGACCGAAATAATGACCTGCGATTGTGTGTGCAGATGCTTCAGGGGACCTGGGCGGGCCTGGGCCTCCTTGCTGCTTCTCTTGTGCACATTCAGGGTCTTAGAAGTGCCTGGGGTTGCCCTGGAGACTGGAGGAGCCTGGTCCTCCCCAGAGCGGGGGGCTGTGCTGCATTTCCTTCCGCAAAGGTAACATCCAGGAGTCTCTGGATCTCGGCTCCTCCCGAGTGATGGGCAAAGCTTCCACAGAGGTTTTGAGCTGAGTGGCTGCAGAACTTCATGCCTGGGGACAAGGTATGGATGGAGCTGTGAGACCACCGAGGGGGACAGAGGCGGAGGTAGGAGGAGCGAGATGCTCTTGCATTAATTAACACCTTCTCTGCCCTCTACCACTTGCCAGGTTTTTCAGAGGCAACTCACCCCCTTTCCCCGAAATACTTTCTTCCCTCCAGAAAATGTCCAATTCTCCATCACAACAGCGTGTCCTAGACCCAGCTCTCCCAGGGCACTGCCCACTCCGCTGGGAAGCGGGAGGAAGCCCCTCACACGAAAAAGAAACGGTGGCTGCTTGGAAGACAGAGCGGATCATGGGCCAAGTGCTCCCACGGGGTGACATCCGGCTCACCTTCTACTCTCCGTCCTCATGGAGCCATCCAGGGGCTGGCGGTGAGCAGTAGGTGCCGCCGCCCTGCCCCGGCTCTCAGGCTGCTCGTTCCGGAGAAAAGGAGTCCAGGCTTCCTAGTGAAGTGTGCAAATGAACCAGGTGATCTGAGTTCCCTTCGGGTAACAACATCCTCTCCCAGAATCCCCGTACTCCCTTCCCCATCCTGCTTTCTCCGCCGAACACGTCACCATCTGGAACGTTGTTCGTGTTTGTTTGTTGTCCGTCTTCCCCCGCTGGCATGTGAAGTCCCCAAGGCCAGACACATTGGACTGCTGTGTTCGCGGCGGTCTCAGCAGCGGTCACTGTATAAAAATCTTTCGAATACATGCACGGATGCATGCACGGATGAATGATACTTCTTCAAGGGCTCTGAGTTGCAACGATAACCAACTTACTGAGCAACTCCAAAGCCTTATTTTACCTTGACAACAAACCTCTAGGGTAGGTATTCTTCCCTCCATCCTCAGGTGAGGAAACCTGGGCTCAGAGGGCTTCAGTTACTTGCCCAAGGGGTCGGGCGGCCCGTGGAGGACCTGGGATCAAACCCAGGCAGCTTGGCTGGGAGCCCAAGCTCCGGGCGAGTATTCTGTACAAATGAGTGCCATTAACTCAACACAATTTTCAGGGGGCACGCAACACAATCCAGGTAGAAAAAATCGGGGATTTCTGGCGTTACGGCAGCAGCTCGCTCCACAAGAGATAGATGTGTGGCTGATAGGGAAACTGAGATGGTTTTCCACAAAGCCTGAAATTAATCATACTTAATGAATGTGACTAATGCATTAAAAGAATGCGTGATTAAAGTATTAGCACGTCTGAACTTCTCCTCCCTGGCTAATTTCTTCTCCTCCCTAGGGTCTCCGTCTTTCAAAGAAACAGGGGCACAGAATTACAGAGACGGATTTTATGGAACAGAAATGCATTTTAAAAGCTTAAATTGGGGACAATCTGTGCAGTTCTCAGGCGGCTGTCAGTCTCCACGTCTCAGTGCTCGAGCAAGAGACGTGGGCTGGGGGGAGAGGTGGAAACCGTCACGACGACTGGGATTGGAACTGGGAAGCCAGGCATTTCCCGGGTGATTGTGTGGAAACGGGAGGCAGGTTGGGGTGCCTTCAGCGAGGAGGCGGTTGCCTTTCTGTGCGGGCAGAAGGCGAGATGAAAGGGACCAAGGAGGCTTGTTCCCCGAGGACGGGTCCCGGGCTTCTCACCGGCTTTGCCCATGATGCAGGATCAATAGGCAGAAGCACCCTGTTATAAATTGGTTTTGGGGACAATCGCTGCAGAATTCTAGCACGGTGGACTTAGAGCAGTCTCCCCATCTCCAGCCTGCACATACACCCACCGTCCAGATGGAAGCATCGCTGCAGGGAAGGGGAAACGTCTCAGGCTACAACTCACACACAGAACTACAAGAGTCCACTGCTTGCTGTAAGCACTAGCTCAAACCTGTTTTCGGAGTTGCATAAACCTGAGCTCCCACACTCAGGCCTCAGCAGGTAAGCAGGTAAGGTAACCAAACGGTGGGAAGGGACCCAGGCCAGCAAGCAGGTACCGGGGGCCGACGGCACCCCACGGTCTCCATGTGAGGACACGGGCCTCACGTGATCAGATCCTCCAGTTTTTAAAGGAAAGACAAATGTGTGTGTGTGTGTGTGTGTGTGTGTGTGTGTGTGTGTATGTGTGTGTTTCCTACTGCTGCTATAACAAATTATCACCAAAGAGGCTGGGTGCAGTGGCTCACGCCTGTAATCCTAGCATTCTGGGAGGCCGAGGCGGGCGGATCGTTTGAGCTCAAGAGTTTGAGACCAGCCTGGGCAAGAGCGAGACCCCGTCTCTACTAAAAATAGAAAGAAATTAGCTAAACAACTAAAAATAGAAAAAATTAGCTGGGCATGGTGGCGCATGCCTGTAGTCCCAGCTACTCGGGAGGCTGAGGCAGGAGGATCACTTGAGCCCAGGAGTTTGAGGTTGCTGTGAGCTAGGCTGATGCCACAGCACTCTGGCCCAGGCAACAGAGTGAGACTCTGTCTCAAAAAAAAAAAAAAAAAATTATCCCCAAAGAAAGTGGCTTAAAACAGCACAGTTTTTTTTTTATAGTTCTGGAGGTCTGAAGCCTAAAATGGGTCTGCAGCCCTGCATTTCTTCTGGACATCCGAGGGGAGAATCTGTTTCCTTGCCTTTTCTAATTCCAGAGGCCCCTGGCGTGCCTTGGCTGCAAGCTGCCTTCCTCCTCCTCTTCAAAGCTAGCGCAGGGTGGTGTTTCTGTCCCCTGCCTTCTAAGGACCCTGAGATTACCCTGGCCCCATCCAGGCCGTCCAGCACCGTCTCCCTCTCTCAAGGTCTTTGTTCTCACCTGCACAGTCCCTTTGCCGTGAAAAGTAGCATCTTCCCAAGATCCAGGGATTAGGACGTGGGAATCTTTGGGGGGAGGCAGTATTCTGTCTACACAGCGTGTACATGTCAATACTCAGTTTGTAAATGCTGGTGTCCACCTGAATAACAAACAGAGGAAGACTCTCTAGAAGAAGAGATACTTATCTGGGAAGAAAGCATTGCAATGAGAATACAAATATCATAGTAAACCGTGTGTATTTAGGGAGGCAAAGGAAGACACAGGTTTTTAAAAGAAAAAATGAGATGCATTATGTAATTGTTTTGAAATGATTATCCTTGGCTGCAAAGATTATTAAGTGTGACACCAGCTGGAGGTTGGACGGGCAGTTGTTGGGTAGATGTCCTTGCAGAAGTATGTATTTTGTTTTTTGAGACAGGGTCTCGCTGTGTGACTCAGCTGCAGTGCAGTGACGTCATCACAGCTCACTGCAGCCTCCACTCCTGGGCTCCAGCATTCTCCTGCCTCAGCCTCCCAAGTATCCGGGACTGCAGGCGCCACCACGCCGGGCTTAGGCCACCCTAGATGAAGTTTTTATTCTAAAGGACCATAAAGTCGGCCCACTGACGTTCCCTGGGGGCTCTGCGGCCTTCCTTCTTCCGGGTAGAGCCGGTACCGGACCGCCAGGCGCCCGACAGACAGATGGCGCAGCAAGCCCCGCCCCTTCCCCGCCCACCTCTGCGCCGGCTCGTGGCCCCGCCCCTGCTCCCCGCCCTCCTCTGTGCCCGCTTGTGGCCCCGCCCCTGCTCCCACCCACCTCTGCGCCGCCTCGTAGCCCCGCCCCTGCTCCCCGCCCACCTCCGCACCTCCTTGTAGCCCCGCCCAGACGCAGCGCAGGTCCGCCCGCCCCGCGGAACTCCGCTTCCGCCGGCGCGCTGACGTCATGGATCCTGCGCCGCTCGCGCCTGCGCCGCGGGCGGAAGGTCGTCCCTGTGACCGGCCTGGCGGTTGAAGCGGTTGTCGCCATGTTGTCGGTCGCCGCCCGCTCGGGCCCGTTCGCGCCCGTCCTGTCCGCCACATCCCGCGGGGTGGCGGGCGCGCTGCGGCCTCTGGTGCAGGCCGCGGTGCCCGCCGCCCCGGAGCCGCCCGTGCTGGACGCGAAGCGGCCCTTCCTGTGCCGGGAGTCGCTGAGTGGCCGGGCCGCGCGCCGGCCCCTGGTCGCCTCCGTGGGCCTCAATGGTGAGCCGGGCTGCGGGGAGCGACCGGGGGCTAGAGGGCGTCACCGTTCTCGCTCCCGCGGCCCCGGACCTGCAGAGCGGCCGAGGAGGACGCGGGAGCGAGGAGCGGAAGCCTCCCTGGGGGGACGGGTCGGGCCTGGGCGACCTAGGGCCGGCGCCCGCGCCGCCGCTGCCCTCGGCGTGCTCACCTGCGGGGACGCCGCGGTTGGGGGAGCTCAGGTGACGCCGAGCCCCGGCATTCCCGGCCTCGGGGCGTCTTTCCCGGCGGCCGGCTGGGCTCCCACCCGCCGGCCAGACTGCGTCCTCCATGGTCAAGTTCAGGCGCCCTGGAGCCTGCGGCTGCCAGCGTCGTCCTGGCAGATCGCGCTGCTCTTGGGCGTTTGACCTTGGCCACGTCTCTGAGCATTTTCCGTGAAATGGGTTCGTGGTTAGGGCCGTTTCGTAGGGATGTCGTGAGGCGTAGATGGGAAGACTCTGCATAAAGTCATTAGCACGGTTTGGGCACTTAGCAAATGCTTAAAAATCGAACTGTTCGTGCGTATGAACGTGGCCCCTTCGCCAATACTGATCCCTCCAGTGTCTTTCTCTTCGCCCCGCTTCACCCCACCCCCAGGACGACACGCACGAGGTCAGTTACACGATAATAGGGTCACCACGGATCAGGTTCATCCTGGAGGAGAACAAGCAAAGGTTGATGACATTCCCGCCTTGCAGATGAGAAAACAAGACTGCAGGAGGTAAAATGACGTGCACAAGGGCACACGGTGTGGACGTGACGCGGCGTGGATCGGACCAGGCTGTGTCAGCCGCGGGGCTGCTCCACGCCCTCTGTCAGCAGGTCCCCGATGTCGCCCGCGCCTCGTCTTCCCCTCTCTCGAATTGGGGGTGCAGAGACGGCGACCGGCGGGCAGACCGTGTAGTTTCAGAAAATCGGGACGGCTTCTGGCGTGCCTTGGAGATGTTGGAAGTTGGTAGCACCGAGCTGTCTGCACGGGAACAGTCCAGCGTGCTGGGTGTTAGCTGTGCCCACGGTTGGAACCCGTGCTCTCCTCCGCTTTGTCACCAGGCCTTGCTTGCTTATTGAGTTACCTGCCTGGCCCGGTTGACGGCTGAGTTTGTGCAGCTTCCCCTACGTGCCAACCGGGTTGCCCCCACTCTCTTCATCACTCTGCCCTCATGCACCCTGTTTTCTGCACTTTTAATGGCTCTTCCACTCAGTTTTCACACGTCCAGGTGTTTTCCTTATCTGTCCTTTCAATCTCAGGGATCAAGTAAATAACATTTCATATTTGCTGATTTGTTTATGTCTTTATAGCACATAACAGTTTCCACTCTGTGTTGTGTTTGTGGGCAATTCCTCTGACCTTGGGGATTAAGGGCACAGAGAATGTCTCCTGTATTCTTCTATCTCCCACTCCCTCGGATTTGGCAGACGGTTTGGGGCAAAGCATTTGTGAATAGATGCTTGCTAAAGAGCACCGGTGGGTTTTGGGGAAGCTTTGCGGGGCAGGAGCGGGGTACTCTGGCCCATTCCAAGCCCATTCTGGGGGCCCGAACGTGAGAAACAAGAAGGGAGGAGAGAATTTCAATAGCAAAGGTAAAAGACGTCTTTGGAATTTGTCAGGTGACTGAAGGGTTTCTTCTGAAAATTGGAGGCTTCCCTGTCGTGTTGAAATATTTTTCCGAAAACAGGCAAATAATATAGAACCATAAGCTAAAACCCTCTTTTCTGTAGTCATGCCTTCAGCTTGTAGCTTAAGTTCACAGTAAAATCTCCTGTCTAAATGGTTTACGGAAGGATGGGTAGCGGTGGATGTGATCAGAGGGGTTGGATCAGGAAAAGATCCTTGGGTTGGGGAGGAAAGTTGTACTGTTAACTCTTTTATGCAGATTTCCAATGCTCATCAGAGGTCACCTTAAAAAAAAAAAAAAAACTTGTTTTATTAAAATGCCTTAATTTTTCTCCATTTCTAGATATTTCCTTTGAATATCTGATTTTGTTTTAGGTTGCAATTAAATCTTATTATCTTTGCTACTAAAAGTCAGACCTGATACAGCCCGTGTAAACATTTAGAGAATGGTTTTTGCAACATGGCAGGTTACTTTCCTGAAGGGTTCTTGGTGGTGTAGACCAATGAAGTGTAACCCGTTAGAGAGAGTGGGTACGAGTGGGGATGGCAGAGCCATCGTATTTCGTGTTCTTGTGCATTTCCTTGTGTACCGCCAAGGAGTGTGGATACTCTTTAATGCAGAAGCATGAACTTCTGATTCCGTTATCTCTTAGGTACGAAACACGTATGTTTTGTATAATCCCAGGCAGTGCTGGGGAAAGCAGTTTATGCTTGATTCCAAATGCCAATCTACACGGACAGGTTAGCATTAGGTATAGTAGTATATGATGTAATGTCACTTTGATTCCACAAAGCTATAAATGTGAATCTCAAGTTGCCACTGCCTGTGTCCTGGTCCCCTCCAAGAAATGGCTGGGTCAGTCAGAAAGCACAGAGTGGTTTTGATAGGTTTCATTATTGTTTGTGAATACTTGTGGCTTCCATAAAGTTCCTGACCTTGGGAACCATGTGAAAAGCGGTTGGGAATATTCTGTGTTGCAACGTTTGACTACTCAAAGAGGTACAGTGCATTAGGATGAGGCAGGCTAGTGGACCAAGGTGCAACTGCTGTTTAAAATAGTGAAAATATATTCTGTAAATGCACCTTTATTTTGGAAACAGCACATTTTCTACAAGTGAGGACATTTTTAGTGTCCCCTTTTCTAGAAAGGAAACCTTGTGGCTGATTTCCTCAGAAAAATACACAATTTGGAAAGAGATTTGCTTCCCGAAACATACTTAAAAGTGGTACTAGTAAATTCATTTTTTTTTTGTCAGATGTTTAAAAATGTTATGGGAGAGAAGGACCTTTTTTTTTTAATACAAACTACTTGCTCCCAAAGTACATGGACAGCAATTATTTGCTCATTTAACATTCATTTGACACAAACATTTGGCCTGTTTTATGGCCTGCAGTAAAAGTATCCCGGTCGAGAGACCGGAGCAGTGAAAAAGATAATTTCCCCACTCACATAGGCTATTGCCCTTCATCGAAAAGGGGGATACATGAAAATCTTGCTCTTTTTTCCCCTTGCTAAATTGAAATAATTAGTTCTTTTACAGATTTCATTTTATTTTGAGAGATGTCTGTCTGATAAGGATGTCCTTTTCTACCCATTAGTGGTTTTATTTGAAGTTAAAGTAATACTAATTTATCCCTTAGGGTCTAAAATAGAAATCTTTAAATTTTCTGCAACTAAAGTTATACTCACAGCTCACGGAATGTTTATTATCTTATAATTAGTATTTTATGAATTTCGAACAGTTCTTTCAGAGAGCACATAGTTAAGAATGTAACCGAACTTACCGGATAGACTGGATGAGTTCTAGCATCCCTTCTAGTCCAGAGAATTTGGGAGTTATTTAGCTTGAGTGTATACTAATACCTTGGCAGTTGAACTTTTAGGAACTTTGGAATACTGCTATTTATTGTGCTATTTAACTTTTTAAACTCGATGCACCGAAATGTCGCACATCCTGAATCAGCGGTGTTCAAGCAGGAGGAGCTCAGTTTACAAATACTGTCTTGTAATTTCATGGCCTATGATGGGTAGTGGTTGGCTTCATTTCGTTGTTAGTGTTTCATATTCTCCCACCGCCAATTCGAATAATTCTCAGACCCAGTAAGCGCCGTGTTTCACATTTTTAGAGTTTGATTTGTGGATCTGTAAAGGTCCGTTTCCTGAGTGTCCCCCTCTCAGGATGCTCATGTCATTGTGTTTTTAACCTTCTGTTTGTCCCGCAGGCCCTGCTTCTGTTCGTTACTCCCACACGGACGTCAGGGTGCCTGACTTCTCCGACTATCGGCGCGCTGAGGTTTTAGATGGTGCCAAGTCCTCGAAAGAGAGCAGCGAGGCCAGGAAAGGCTTCTCCTACTTGGTAACCGCAACGACCACCGTGGGCGTCGCCTATGCTGCCAAGAACGTGGTCTCCCAGTTCGTTTCCAGCATGAGTGCCTCTGCCGACGTGCTGGCTATGTCCAAAATTGAAATCAAGTTGTCCGACATCCCAGAGGGCAAGAACATGGCTTTCAAGTGGAGAGGCAAGCCCCTGTTTGTGCGCCACAGAACCAAGAAGGAAATCGAGCAGGAGGCCGCGGTCGAGGTGTCCCAGCTGCGGGACCCGCAGCATGATCTCGAGCGCGTGAAGAAACCGGAGTGGGTCATCCTGATAGGCGTCTGCACTCACCTCGGCTGCGTACCCATCGCAAACGCAGGCGATTTCGGCGGCTATTACTGCCCGTGCCACGGGTCGCACTACGACGCGTCTGGCAGGATCAGAAAGGGGCCTGCCCCGCTCAACCTGGAGGTCCCCTCGTACGAGTTCACCAGTGACGACATGGTGATCGTGGGTTAGAGACTGGACTCGGGCCGCCGGCTTCTCTCCGTGTTCACGTCGCCTCGGAGGGTCACTCGAGAGCGGGCCTTCTGTGCTTGAAGGGGCTGATCTGAAATATTTAAGAATCGCTAATAATGTATTTGCAAACATCAACGTGGAGTAAATCGAGTTTCTTGTTGAATGCTTTCAAGCATTCGGTTAATAAAGCCACTGTTAAGCGTTGCCGAGCTCAGTCATTCGCTGAGAGGTGCAGTGTCTGATAGCCGATTCTGATTAAAACCACAGGCTGGTGTGCAAGATGTCTGTGAAGTCTGTAATTCACTCGCTGATTTTATTATTTTCCTGCCCCAGTCCTTGCTTCCTGCTTTGTTTCAGGACACGGATGCTTTGAGCTTCGTAGCTCATTGTCGAATGAGGTGAGATTAGCGGGTTATCTCCCAAGTCCTGGGAGCGGTTTATGGTTTTGGCAGAAAGAGCAGTTTTTCACAGGACTTAGGAAAAGTCTTGGCTGTGTTTCCCCTGCTGCCGCATGACATGCAGTGACCTGCGTGGTAACCGTGTAAGCTATTGAATGAGTCCGAACGGGGCAGCGGTTGTTCTCAGGGTTTCTCTCTGGGTATGGCTAGCTGGTTTTCTGCTTGAGTGACAGGCCAGGAAATTTTAGTCCTTCCCAATGGCTGTAAGTTAGTGTTTGCAGTTCTTCAGTTTTAAGAGGCAACAGTGTTGTGTGTCTGAGAGAAGCTTTCCGAGATGGGAGCGCTTCTCTGCCGCTTCCCTCATTTGGCATTGTGTGTGTACGTCCCCAAAGCCGCATCCACTCCATCAAGAGGCAGAAAGGGAGCATCTTAGACTTAATGCTGTCTTTGTGCAAAAACGATCCTGCTGGTTTTGTTTGATTGCGCTTTGAGGTGCTTCTTCCGGTTGGATTTGTGGTCACTCAGCACCTTCCACTGTGCAGGGTGGACACAGCTCATCAGAATTCACATCTAACTCCCGTCTGCCTCCCGCCTCCGGTTACCCGGTGAAACAAGACTTGAGGCCTGATACTCCCCCTGGGAAGTGGGAGTGGTCTTTGCCCTTCGCTGGGAATCTTTCTGATAGGCTTGTCCCGTCTCTGCTGTTTGGAGGTGGGTCTGCGATGTACTTTCCTGGGTCCGTCTTGTAATCACATGTGCGCTTGTGAAATAGCCAGAGTGGTTCATTCTGACCAAAGGGACCCGACCGTCCGGGGTTCCAGCCTTTAATCTCAGCAGTTAGGTGTTTGCACCGAAAAAGAAAGTGCCAGAGTTTCTATGCTTATGAACACATACAAGTCTCTGGTTCATTTTTCGCCATTCCAGAAATACAATCAGGTATGAACAACAGTTGGTGGGACCCATAAAAGTATTTTATGTTCTGTGTCTCCAGATAATGGAGGGGGCAGAGTAGGGAGGCAAAGCGTTCAGTTGTGAGGGGGACGCAGGTCCACGCACCCATAACTGTGCTGCCAAAAACGTCGATGGCACCCCTTCCCCGTAGGGAGATACCGATAACACCCCACATCACTGCTCCCCACCCTGCAGCGATACCTTGACTCACTTCACGCTTTGCCAAGACAATGCCGCGTTAGAATCTGTGCGGCGGCGGACGACAAAGTGGGAAGTTTGCAGGCCCCTGGGTGTTGCGCCCCAGGCCCTTTGCACTGGCATTGCTGTGTGTGGCGGCTGCTTACGTCTTTCATACTTTGAGTTTGGCAGTGGGATGCTGCCATATCCCAGCAACCCGTTTGGTTTTTAAAAGAAGTCTGTATCCCACAGGTGATGGGACAAGTCGAACCACTCGATACTACTTTGACAAACGGACAGAGCAGACCTGTGTTACCTTTTTGACGGTTCTGTGGGAACGGAATCCTAGATATCAGGGAGACCTGACCAGTTAGCGTTCCGGCATGAGATCATCGACATGTTCTGCTGTTTACCGGGAATAGTTCCCGGGCAATCCTGAGAGCCACGCCTTTTCATGACTGTTTAAGAAGCGTTACAAAAACTGGCCTTTTTGAAAATTTTGCATTGTTCGTTAGAGATGATGCCAAATTTACTTTGGTCTTTCTGAACGACCCTTTTAAAATCTTTTACTCAATCTAATTGCATAGCGAGCTTTTGTCCTTATTTGATGCTTACGGCTTGAGGTCAAAATGCTTCTGCTGTCCTCATTTTTCTAAGCAGTGGGAACATGCTGTTTATTTCAGAAATCATCCTCCGTTCTCACAGTGTTTTCCCGACATTTGAATTTCGTTACATTTTGCATATTGACCCAAAATAAATGTCCGTATTTTTCAGAACGGTGTCCTTGGCCCACTGTTCTAACACACTCACCCTCTGTTTGCTGATGACTCCCCTAGACCACTCCCCCGAGGTTCGTGCTCATGTTCAGCGGTTTCCTGGGCGTCTGTCTCTGTGTGGATGTCCCGTGAACACCTTAAACCCAAAACGTCTGGAAGGAAAGGAAGTCCTCCCTGTTTCCCATAAGTCAACTTCACTGCAGGTGGGGCCTCCCCACCTGCCTAGTAACCTACTTGGCAAGCTAGAAACCTGCTGGTCTTCCCTGCCTCCTGCCCATTACCTCCTCCCCGGGGCCAGATCACTCCCCAAACCCTACTGACTTAACCTCTTTAATGTATGGGTCTGTTACTGTCTCTCATCTGCAGCATTCTAGTAACAGCTAACTTTCTGATCCCTAAGCTAAGTGCACTTTACGTATATGATCTTTAACCCTCAAAAAACCCCGTCAGGTAATGTTGCTATTAATGGTTTATAGATGGGGAAACTGAGGCACACAGAAGTCTGTTGTCTCAATCACAGCTGGTAGGTCGGTGGAGCCAAAATTTTATTTTAACCCGGGCAGTCTTGAGTTCAGAGCCGACAGGCCTGATCACCACCCTGTACTACCGGCTCTTGGAGGCCTCGACAATTCCTGCCTGGTCTGCTGATTCCAGACCGGTCTGTCCTCCAATCCGGTCCCCTTAAAATTCATCCTCCAAATC